ACTGCAAGATCGATGAATCACAGAATCACAGAATCATTTAGGTTGGAGGTTGGATGGGACCTCTGGAGATCATCTAGTCCAACCTCCCTGCTCAAGCAGGGTCCTCTAGAGCAAATTGCCCAGGATCACATCCAGACGGGTTTTGAATATCTCCAGCGAAGGAGACTCCACTACCTCTCTGGGCAACCTGTGCCAATGCTCTGTCACCCTCACAGTGAAGAAGTTTTTTCTCAGGTTCAGATGGAACTTCCTGTGGTTCAGTTTGTGCCCGTTGCCTCTTGTCCTGTCACTGGGCACCACGGAGAAGAGGCTGGCCTCATCCTCTTGACACTCCCCCTTCAGATACTTTTACACGTTGATGAGATCCCCTCTCAATCTTCTCTTCTCCAGGCTGAACAGGCCCAGCTCTTGCAGTCTTTCTTCACAGGAGAGGTGCTCCAGCTCTCTAATCATCTTGGTAGCCCTCCGCTGGACCCTCTCCAGTAGCGCCATGTCTCTCTTGTCCTGGGGAGCCCAGAAGTGGACACAGGACTCCAGGTGAGGCCTCACCAGGGCTGAGTGGAGGGGCAGGATCACCTCCCTCCACCTGCTGGCAACACTCTGCCTAATGCAGCCCAGGATCCCATTGGCCTTCTTGGCCACAAGGGCAAGATATGGCCGATGAGATGGTGTGGGACACAGAGGTGGCTTCCTCAATGCCAGGGATTGCTATGATATAATATAAATTGGAACAAAAGATAAAACTTACATGCTAAAGCAGAGCAATCTATACCTTTTACTAGTATATGGTAGGTAATGGAAGTAGATTATAAAATGTTCTTGGTAATGTAATTCACTTTAATGAACAAAAACCCTGAGCCAAGTTCTGCACTGATTTACATGCTTTGTAACTCAAAATATTTCACAATGGTGCAGAATCTGATCCATCATACTAAGCATATTGCAGTACATAATGAAATATAGGGAGCAATAAACAAGACCTTTGGCAACTCTTCTGATTAAGTTTTCCAGTAAAACCTTTTGTTTAAGGCCAAATCCACAGAAAAGCTCACACACTAATACATAGAACACAAGCCTTGAAGTCCAAAATGTAGACCCTTAAGCCATCTAATCAGCTGCTGCGTGCTGCCAAAGGCTCCTGATGCCCGTGATCGCCAGCGCTTGCAGCATCCCGTAAGCGCTGCACTCAGAAACACCCGAGTCTTGACATGGTGGAGTGGCTCCGGGCCTGCCTCATGGCTGCGCTCCTCTGATTTGCATCCTCCTACTTATCTGCCCCGGGAGGCACCATCTCTTAGGAGTTCCCAGAGCACATCTCAGGGCTTAGTAGCTCTTGACAAAATGTCTCACAGTTGCTGCCACTGCTCTTTTAAAGGCGGTTGGAGGAAGAGCTTTCCTTATTAATAGCACGGTACGTAAGAGCACTCACATAGGATTGGACACACCTGAGTTTTGCCCACTTCCTTCACAGCGCAGTTCAAGCCCATGTCTTGCAGGAAGGTGTCCTGATGCCAAGTGACACACGGGTGAGGAAGCAAGGCCTGTGCAGCTCCTTATGCTGACGGTTTTTTTGAGAGAGGGAAGGAAAAGCAGAAAGACGGAGGATACACGTACATCAGGCCAGACTGACGGTTTTGGCAATCTCTTGGCTGTTGGGAGTTCTGCGATTCAGTTTCTAACTCCCGCAAGTCTGTTCTCCTTTTATCTAGTAACAGCTATTGCGATCAGCTTTTAGCTGTGAATAAGCAGTTTGCAAACCATGGTGAGATTCAGCAGCATTTCTAGGGCTCTGTAATGATGCCAATTTCAGAGTGATATCTGTCTGAAAAAAACCAGGACCTGGACGGCAAAAACGACTGTTGGAGACAAGACCCCTCAGAGAGTGATTCAGCTATCAGCACAACACAGCTTGCCCCAAGGGCCTTTTGAAGGGGGAACTCCCTCCATGTGAAGGTGTTTCTGTTTAACAGTAAGAGGGTCGTGATTTTTAAATGACTACCAAAAATGTATAAAAAATGGACTGGAAAAATCCTGAGAACAGGGCACAATTAAATGTTATACTGGTTTCCAGTGGACAACGACCTAGAAGTATGTGTTGTGTCTTCTGTTGTACTTGGTGCCCTTGCTGCAGATAAACTGAAGATTAATTGGAAGAACGGGAGAATAATGCTCTTCCAAAGCAAAATAAAAATGATTTTTTGACATTTTCCAGGAATAAATAAAATCCTTGACCTGGTATACTAGTTGAGAAGATACCTAAGCAAGTGGTAGAATTAGGCACGCTGGACATTGTGTGCTTCATACAGCACTATCTGACACTGTCCAGCAGAGTGATGGATTGGTGTAAACGGTTTACGATGAAGCATGGGTTGAGGCATATAAATGCTGGTCCCTGCTCTCCCAGCCTAGTAAGCTGGTGGAAAGCAATGACAATGTGGTAAGTTCCTATTAGAAAGGGACTCATAGCCAGATTCTGATCCCTTCAGTGTGATACGGGAGCTTGGGTGCTGTTCCCGTTTCATGGCAGTGGCTCTGTGAGCACGGCAGCGGGTCAAAACAGCAGCAGTGTTGCCCTGTGGCCTGCAAAGATTTTCAGTGGGGACACACAAATCCTTGAGAGGACCAGTGATCCTTGCTCTGTGTCCCAGCAAGCGGGTCACAGTGGAGAAAGGGCACCTATTTGGGTTATGACAGTCTTGGAGTGGTACCAAAGAGCAGGAAGAGGTGGCTGAGTCCCCAGTGGCCACCCCACAGGAACCAGTGGCCATATCGCCACTGCGATAGTGGGGACATTCTCCAGAAAGGCATCTGCTGGTGGTACAGGCTATGCAGCACCTCAGGCAGGACCTGCAGGGCATGGACTCAGCTGGAAGATCTGCTCTACGTGTTCAAAAGTATATAACATGGTAATGTTCTTCTTTGCTACCCACGTATAATCTATATGGGAAAAGATATGTATGTGTGTATGGAGAATCCTGGGATTTTCCCAAAACTGTGGCAAGTGGATGTGCTCTAGGTTTGATTTTAACCATTACAGGAAGGAATCAGTTGAAAATATAATGATGGAAAGCAAGGTGAGTGCAAGTAACCAGGAAAACAAAGAATTCACATTCTTCAGAAGCAGAGAAGATAATGAAAGTGGGTTTCACCAAAGTCAGAGACCTAGAGGGCAAGAGCCCATAAGAAAAACACAAGAGGAGAAGTTGCCCAGCATGTCTGGTAGTTACTTAAGGAAAGGATATTAAGGGCACAAGCCCAGCTAACTGAGCACAGAAAGAGGATAGAAAGGGTACGAAGAGAGCAGATTGGCTAGATCACAAAGTCTTCAAAAACTCAAGCACAAACGAGTATGCAGAAGGTGGTCACTAGTAACATAGTGTAAGAGAACAGTACAAAAAAATGTAAGAACAGTATCAGAAAGCCCAAGGCACAAATGAAAGACAACCAGCAAGGGAGTTAAAAAGTACCAATAAAACTTTCTCTAAGTTGTTAATGGTGAGAAGATGGCCAAGAAAGTGTTGTTCTGCTACTCAACAGGGAGGAAAAGATATTGGCAGGAAGCTAAAGTAGTTACGAGTGGTTCGCTTCGAAACGGAGGGAGGCATTGGAAGGGCCTGCAGGGGTCTGTCCTTGTCAGGTACTATTCAATATTTCCATTAGCAACCGGCATGACGGCATAGCGAGTATGCTCATTAGACTGGTGGACAGCTCTGAGCTGGGAGGAGCCACAAGCGTGCTGGAGGACAGGGGGGAGAAATAAAATGATGTTACAGTGCCGTAAGGACAAATGCAATGGGGTACACAATGAGGAGCGATGGACATCACCAACACGAGGTGGGGGATAACGGCCTGATCCTGCAGCGCCGACGAGGGCCGCTGCCAGTCTGCGCGCGAGCCAGCGAGGCGAGGCTGCCAGAGGGGGCAGGTCTTGTGCGAGGCAGTCGGGCGGCGTGTAAGAAGTCCTTAAAATTAGGGGAGTTGTGCTGTCTGAAACTGATTCTCCTTGAGAGTAAATGCTGTGAAGTCAGGCATGCACTAGGTATCTCTGAAAACAAGGATCTCAATATCGTATGGAAAATCCCATCTGGAGACACCCCAAAGTAGTGGACTCTTCTGAAGAAGTGACTTGGTTCCTTTTTGACACGCGTTGTAGTATGGATAAATATTTCAGTCTAATTATTGTAGAGCTAGTAAGTGTGTTTGAATTTGCAAATAGTTCACATATTTACCTCAGTCAGGAGAGAAAAAAACCAATGAGAGTGGGAAAGTGCGTTAGCTGCTTGGGCTCATTAGCGTGGAGTGTAATTGCACTGCTCAGCTTGAGGCAGGCAGAGCGTGCAAGGAGCTCGGTACCTCACTTGAGGGTAGTTTGGAGTGGCCAGGGATACCAACAACCATTTTTTTTGCATCTTTGACACAGTTATTGTGAATTGTATGGGTGAAATTGTTAGTAGGTGCAGCCGGGGGCCCGATGCGGTATGGAGAGCACCAGGTAGATATTCATCGAGGTTCGTACGCCAGCCACGAGATGGGGAAAGCTAACGTGTTGTGACACCGGTCATCTGTCACTGGTGTCTTGAGAGAAACCAACAACTAGACTAGATGATCTGGACTAGATGATCTCCAGAGGTCCCTTCCAACCTAAACCATTCTGTGAGCTCATGCCCTGGAACAAAAGGTAACATCTCTCACGACTTAGTCCTATTTCGACTGGCCCCCAAAATGATATTTGTGTAGCATGTAGCCATGTCTGTATTTTGCTGAGGCAAGATAGTCATGACATACTTTCACATGGACTGTTTGTGGGTATTTCCAACCACACAGCGTATCCTTTAAAATACAGAATGCTTTTTGATTCAAATCACTTTCTGCTGTTCAATAGAGTGTGTATACGGCACAGAAAAAACCCCATCAAATTCAGGCCATTAGTTATTATTGACAATAGGTAGTTAATAAAATAATAATAAAGCAAGAAGTGGACGCACTTTAGTTTTACAGACTTTCAATGCACAATAAAACATTTTATTTAAAAACAATGCATTCAATATTGTGTTTTGGCACATGAGTCAATGTTGCAGGCACATTCACACCAAACAGTAACATTGCCGAAAGATTCAAAATGAATCATTGCATTTTTCTCCACAAACTATGGTCACAACAAATATGCAGTATTCCTTTACAAAAAGAACCAGGTTCCTCGCTCACAAATGCGACAGCATTATTTACATGCACAATAGCCTGTGCAGGCCACACTCAGATCTCAGATGTGCCGCCACATCTGGTACAAAACACGTAATTCTGTGGGCCCGATCCTGATCTCACTGAAGCCAGCAATGCCTCTTAAGTGGGAGCAAGACTAAACACCAGTTTTGCTTGCAACATATTTCATAACATGTGCAGCTTAGTATGCCGTTCACCTGAGACGGTATTCTGGCCCTTTACGGACATTAGCCACTAAAAATAAATAATACTTTTAGTATGGCCATTAAATAAGGAATCCTTTATTACAGTTATGGCGTTTTTTTTCTTTTTTTAAATATTTATCTTTTTTATTGAAAACAACTCCATCAGGCATTGAACTGTATAGTCATTAGAATAAAGACACATTCATCTACAGAAATCTGCTTTCTAAAAGATTCATTTTTGCAACCTCCACTCACAGTCAGTTAGATTTCACAATACTTGCTTTTTGGTATACTCAACAATTAAAACCGGTAGCCAAAATGACTTCTTTACGTGTCCTGCTACCATTCACTGAAAAGATGCAAGCAACTAAAATACAAAACAAAGGTGAATAAAAGAAGTGACACACCTATTTCCATTGTTATGTACACGTTCTACTTCATATTTCACTGCTCTATGGCCCAATCCCCAACACAAGAAGTGACATCTGGATGCGCACAACTGCTGACCTGTGCTGTCCTGCTCCTTCGGGAGCCCACGCATGCGTATCCCCAACTGCACGGATGCCCGCGGAGAGCGGACGGCTGCTGCAGGGCCAGCCGATGTGCATGCAGCTCCCTGCGTGCACCCAGGACTCCTTTTGATTTTTTAAGCTAAAATGTTTTGTACTTACACATATTGATTACACTGCATTACGCATACTTTCATTTAGCTATATTTGTTTGTCTAGACATTCAGTAATAATAGCGAGTATTTTCCCTGAACCATCAAGAATTCATTTAGATGCACAGAGACAGAAAGATTTTGGAGCAAACAAAAAGGAAGGAAGAGTCTAGCCAAGATGATAACAAATGCAGATGCGATTTACTGTCCTCAGCATTGAAGGCTGCAGCTGGCACCTTCCTGCAGCAGGAGCCACATTCACTAGACAGGAGCACACGCACATATTTAATGAAAATGCAGTTTCTGCCTCGGAGAGATGCTGATTTGGAGAACCTCTATTCCTCGCTCATTTTCTCTTCTGCATCCTTTGGGTTTTCAGCTCTCCATGAAACACAACCAAAATCTGTCACCTGACTCCCGAAATGAAGCACCGGCAGCTCACTGCAAGTGGCAAAATCTAGCCCTTCGTTGACCGTTGTCTCTGATTTAAGGGGCGCCAAGCAAAACCGCCCGCTCCTTCTAGGGCTCTCCGCCATGCCTGAGCATGGACTTTGTCCCCGCTGAAAGGGAGAACCGTTTTTCTATAAAATCAAACTTACGAGCACCACGGGTCAGATGCAGCACGGGAAGGACGTTAAGCTCAGACCTGTAAGACAAAGGTGGGGAGCGGTGGGAGGGGGGACAGATCTCGCCTCGCCTCAGAGCTCTGCGATGTGCGGCGCAGATGCTGGTTGGGCTGTCCTTCACGGAGCCAGGCCCGTGGAGGTGCCCGCGGATGTCAGCTCGGATTTCCCTGCCCTGACAGCGTGGGGAGCCCAGGTACCCCACGACGCCGGCCCTTTCCCGCCGGCGTCTAACGAAGGAGGTGACGACACCGACCTCGAGCAGCGCCAAAGGCACTTGCATCCCAAGGAGCTCAGGATGAGGCCCCTGGTACGTGGCTCCGCATGCATAAACGGTGTGAAAACGGGGATGCGTGGAAGCGGCCCCTTCCTGAACTGGAGGAATCAGGAGGGTCTTTGCCTTCCTGGGAAGACAGAGGCCGCCCGCAATCACTGCTGGCATCACCATCGCCGTCCCCAGCCCTTTCTCTTTAGTCTCTCAACAAAAGCAGAATTCAAAGAGCCTCTAAGAAAACAGGCAGAAACAGAAGATGCACATTTGAAAGACCATTTTCCACATTGCAACAACTCGGGCAAAAAATATTGATACTCAGAAGCAATTTACTTTGGGCTGTATTGCGCCATCGATTTTGGAGCAGAACTCCCCATTAAAATCAATGATTCTGAAATGTTCAATGTGGTTCTGAAAAATCAATGGGGAGTTTTGCTTAAAAATCAATGATATAATATGGCCCTTTGTCAATAATTTTTCTGTATTCCCATTTCTGGATATTTGCAATCATTTCTGTGCTCTGTACTGAGCACTCGGTGCCTCTTCGCGCCTCGGTGAAGTTGCAGCCCAGCTGCACCGTCCCCCCAGGCTGGACGCGCAGCGGCGATGTCACGCCTCGTCCCCGTCGCCTGCTCCTGCCCTACCCCGGAGGAGTCCTTTGCCTTTTGTTATAGCATGACTTTACTACGAGTGCGATGGAGCTCAGAGAGATGCTGCATTTGCTTAAATTAAGGAGGTTAAATTAAGCTCCTGTGCATGCAACATGCTTTTCCATTGTGATCCTTTTAACGCACATCCTGCTTCTGAAAAGCTGTGGACAGTTATTGTAACTTTTTCATGATTAGGAAAGAAAGGCAAATTTTAAAAAATAGGTTAAGAAAAAGTATGAAAAAGTACCTGGGGACAATTTAAGTGTTTGGTTTCAGTATCTAATATCTACTCTTTAATCTTCTAACATAGGTGCTCAAAGAAGTAATTTTGAAATTGAAAGAAAATATGCGCTATTCAGAAAAGACTGATTTAGGACTCTAAGACTGTCAGAACTTTCTTCCCTTTTTTCTTCCGCGTGAAGACTCAGGGAAATAGGCACAATTTGGGCAGACTGCAAGTCGGTCCAGAACTGCTCCGCTGGGGTTTCTCCAACAAGGTGCGGCAGCGAGGGGCAGCCTCGCGCCCCGCGAGCCCTCCCGCGGGGACGGGGGATCCCGGCACCTGGCAGCACTCCCGTCAGCTTAGCGCCAGGGAACTTCGTCTCTGAGTTTCACTAAAAATGACGCAGCTCTGTACCAGACTGGCTCGGTTTCACGCCTGAGCGTGCGCCCGGCTGGCAGTCCCGCTGCCGTCGGGGAGAGCAGCTGGCGCCGCCAGCGTGAAGGTGCTGCCAAACCCCAGCGAGGACTCAGGACCTCGCCCCAGGCGGGCTGTTCCCATCCCAAAAAATGCCTCTTGGTACATGAGTGGATGGAAAGACATTTGTTTAGACTAACGAATATTTACTTGCAATGACATCAAATTTAAACTAGTTATATCATGTAAACAATACACAGCAGCCAAACAGCTTCTGCCAGTGCGATTTCTCACTGCAGAGAGCCGGCAGTTGAAAGCGGTATAGAGCACGCTGGCCTCGACATTCAAGCAAAATAGGATGGCAATCGTTCACATGGCTTTAATGCGCTGATTAAACACGTTCACTCCCTCCATGGAAATGATAACCCGCCTCTCAGCTAAGACACCTGGGGCTACCCACGAGCCAGGGTGCCTCGCTTGCTGCTGCCCAGCCCTGAAGCCAGCCGCGGCCTTTCCCTAGCGGGTGGACCACAGTCAGAGCTGGGTCCTGGCTGCTGGGCACATTTTCAGCTCCACACCTCCGTGACTTGCAGAGTGATTTGCCTGCCCTAGCAAACACGCGTGTGCTGCACAGTTCAATAGCAAATTACACTGGAAATGATTAATTGATGCTCTTCATTAATAACTAGTGCAGAACCCTTCCTTTCCTTTATAGTTTCTCTTTTTCTAGGTTTTTTTTTTTTTTTGAGGGGGGAACATGCAAAAATAAAAACCCATACCCACAGGTGCCTCAAGAGAGGTTTCTCAAAGGACTTAGCTACAACTGGTGTTTCTCCCCGGCTCTTACTCTTGCCCAGGAGTGCCTCGCTGCTGGCTTCGATACGCCTTTTGGGTTAGTCCCCGGCAGCGGGCGCCGCCGCGTCTTGCCGGGGACGGCTCTGCCAAGGGGGCCCTCGGCTCTTCCCCGGGGGACGCTGGCAATCGCGAGCTCTCGGGACAGCCTGCCTGCTTGCTCGCTGCCGATCTAGCGCGGCTGAACTCTGATCCCCGGCTGGGCCCTTGCATGCTGCTGCTACAACACAAATAATAAATGGTAATATTAATAATAAATCATATAGCACCATATGGCATAATGCACTACTACTACTACACAGCTATGTCTTAGTAATAACATTTACTAGAAGTCATACTTTGCTGTATGAATAGTGATGAGTACAGGCTTACTATAACAGCAAGGAAAGCCAAAGAGAGCAGAAATGCTGATGCAGACTGATGCGACTGGGAAAGAAAACTTAGCAGCAATGAATTTTCTACAGAAGCGAATCTGAAGTCACCCATTGACATCAGGTTGGTGTCGGCTGTACTCTGCCACATCAGAGAGCATCCCAGCTTCTTCCATAGCACGTCCAAGCTCCAAATACCCGTTTAAAAATAAAAGCCAGAACATGTTGGATAATTAAAATAGGGAAGAAAGGGTGACTTTCTACATGGCTTTAAAATCCCTGGTATTTCCAGGATGAAGTCTCTCCCAGCTGGAATTGCCACGGACATACTACATTTACTAAATTTAGTCTCGTGGAGGATACAGTCATTTTTCCCACCACAAGCACTGGAAATCAGGCGTTTTGGAACTGTTGCAAGGTGGGGATTGATGGCTTTAAGGGGCATCGGGGCTGGGAGGGAATGGCTCAGGCCTAACCCTAAGGGGAACGGCCGGCGGAGCTGTGGGGCGCCAGGGATGCCCACGGGCACCAGGAGACACTCGACATTGCTTGGGATTTTATATCATACCAGGGATCTCCTTCCTTGCTTTCTACATCTACTTGTAAGTAAAGACCCTTAGAAAAATGAAACTCTGGAATTTTAAAGTATGATTTAAAATGCACTTTTGCATCTTCTTTCAGTGGATAGTCAGGTCTCACTTGGCGTAATACAGAATTATATAAAAATGTTAAAATACTTTTAAGTATAATTGTTTTAATAAGAAAAACAGGCATTTTACAGACTCCTTTATCCTGAGACATACTGGCCAACATTTTCAAACTTTAAGTGACCCTAAAATTTGTCCTCTTAGCAAATAGTCTGATTTTCAAAGGTACTCAAAAACCTACGTCTTCTTTGACTGCAGTGAACGTTTCGTTGTGACCTGAAAATGAGGCCACTAATTCAGTCGCCTGAATGTGGGTTTAGAGATGCGAATGTGAAAATCTGGTGAGTGACTGTATTTCCTGTTGCCTGCATTCCTGTTACACTCACTTCTCTTTAAAAATATATATTTTTAAAAATACTACTTTGGGCTTTGATCTTATTCTGTTCACAGTTATTCTGTTCCTGCTAGACGCAGTTATATTCGCTAACCGAGGAGCTGTGTCTGGCTACCTGGGGGTGGGCACGGTCCGCTACGTCCCTGCTCGCGATACAGATGCCCGCCAGGCTGCGGCGGGCACCGGGGCGGCTGTGTCCTCTGCAGCACCGAACCAAAGTGCAAAAAAAATAAAAAATAATACTGCTTGTTTTTGTATTTTAACTTTAAAACTAAAGGGCCAAACAGTACCCCATAGATGTGAACGAAAGTGTTTCAGTTCATCTAATTTTGACTACGATTCGGCCCAAATTGAATTAAAACACTGAAGTATTCTAAGAGTATTATAAATGCCTAGCTATGATACAGGCCGTATTTTGACCTTCTTCATGTTATTCTGAAAAAAAAAGGAAAGTTCAGTAAATATGAAAACATGCAAGCTGTGGAAATTAGGATCCACACCAAAGACCTTGGAAGCGATGGTAAACTGGAATTCTGAGCAGCTTTTTCAATTGGCCATGGCAATCTACCTATGCTGAACTATTCACAGCAACATATACAAGAGAAGCGAACTCTTTTAAAACTAACATTTCGAATTCTGATCTGAATGGAACAATAAAATTAGGAGATTTAGAGGCGTTTAGTGGAATGCTAAAATATGAAATATCTTAAAACATATTTAGTAGCATATGCATAAATGCAAAATATTCCAACTTTTCTGCTGCATGAATAGCATCCACAGAATCTGGTAAATGCGTCTGCATTGCTAAATACGCTTAAACCCTCTGGTGAGCAGTGACAAGGGTGATCAAAAAGCATCTTTATCTTATGGAAAATATTTTAGTATTTGTTTGTTTGTTTGTTTGTTTTTTAGAATTCTATCTGAAGAATGTTTAACTCAGTTTTGGGCACTTTTTAGACAATGATTTGGCACTTGGAGATTCAGGTTCTTAGGCACAATGCGACAAGGTGAGTTTGGCCAGTCCTTCACCGTGCATCCTGTAGAGCAGCTGGAACTCTGCAGGCAGCTGGTGGGACTCCTGCCACTTGGTCGTAAACTTTGTTCCTTTCTTATCATAGTAATGGTATGGGAGATCTTCCCGGGTGTTGGGATCGAATCCGAACGGCCAGAATCCATACAAGTGAATCTCTTCACATATCGCAGAAGCAAGGGTGTACATGAGAATACCTGTGCTCAGGCGCTTGGGTGACAAATGCTTGTTTTTCCAGTATCTGTGAAAATAATACAGGCATGTTAGTTTAGGGTAGAAACAATACCCACAGGTTTGCTGTAAGAGAAAGAATTACCGCGTGGAGCCCATCCATACGCAAGGCTGATGATCTGAATAAGGTAAGGATTGCTGCTTAGGTCTGTCTGTAATAAATAGGAGTGCAGAATATTCTTTTTGACACTCTGATCAATATTCCCTCTTGTGGCCCCCCTTCAGACTGTGTTTTTGTCTTTTTTTTTTTTTTAACCAGGAAAAGTAGTGCCTTACCCAAGAAAGTAAATTCATTAAACACTAGTCACATGTGCATTTGCTAATGAGGTTGACAACATTATCCTTGTATGATTTATTACAGTCTTTTTTGGGCCACTCTGCAGTTATGCCTGTTAGCATCCCTATTTGCTAGCTGAGGAGATCTGCATCAAGCAAAATTCTTCCACAGATGATGTTTTGCTTATGCAGAATCTCATTCAACTCCTCTGCGCTCCTTCTGTCTTTGGGGAAGCACTGGCAGGAGCAGAGTCCAGTGGTGGAATATACCCCTGTGTGTGAGCAATCAAACCAAGGCACAGGTGCCATTTACATCTGCAAAGAAATAATTGAACTACTGACTGAAGCAATAACAAAGCTGCATTTCTGCTAAAAGTAAACAGTACCAGGCGCTAACTAGTTAGAGAGTGCATATCAGTTTAGGCATGAATAGAAAAATAAATACAATTGTATTTATATACAGAGATACATACTTGAACAAATTAACTGCAAGAGAAAACACACACCTGTTAACATGTTGCATTATATTTCCTGGCCAAGCCAACTGGACTTTTAGTTGCCCTCTATGCTCAACAAAGAAGTCAACCAGTGTTCTTGTGACTGTTGCTGACGTGTGGAAGAAAAAAGCGGGGATCCAAAGAATGGCCCCATCAAGCTTTTTTAAACTTAAAAAAAAGTTGTTGCGATCCTGAATGGTCAAAAGATTGTTGTAATACTTCTCCAGGATGCTGGGATTGAAGGTTGTAAGATTGGTTTTCCTTCCAACATCTCTTTGGAAAGCCTCAGTTGGAGCAAAATTGCAACGAAAAACAAAATCAGATTTATCTATTTCTTGTCCACACTGACTTCCAGTCAGGATTCCACTATTCCCAACCACGGCGCAAATGTTATAATGCTTATTCAGGATTGGTGACACATCTGGAAGCAGTGATCTGAAGTTATTGCTAATAGAAAAAACATACTTATGGCTGGAATAATCATAATGCATCAGCTGTCCAATCCGAACACTGTTCTTAGTCAAAGAAAAATTTTTTATTACATCAACATGCTGAAGGATTTCTTGCCTAAAATAAAACAGAAAAAGAAAAGAAAACATTTCATTATGGTTCCCCTTTTTCTATGATAGAGACATTATCTTTCAGGCTAGGCCTAAAATTTTAGATGTAGTAAAGTCGTTTCCTGAGAAATGTGGTGGAACGGCTTTAAAATTAATAATAACAGATAGGAATTATGGAGCAGGTTCCTCACCTAATGCTCTACTGATGTTGCTGAACTGTGCTGACTGATGTCAGATAAGGATGTGTCTCGGAATAGTGTCAGGATTATAATATTGAATTCTTTTTGTAAATTGGAGGCGTGTAACTGCACATACTTCCAGTACTCCCCTTTCTGAAGGAGCAGTGCAAAACAGGTTTCTGTTCCTGACATGGCGAGTGGACATGTTCTCTGCCGGTGCTCTCTGCTGTCATACACCTCACTCCTGGTACTGGACAGTGGGTCTTTGGTAACGATGGGCAGCCTGTTTGCCAAGATGTACGCCAAGCAAAATCAAGCAGTCCAGAATCTTCAGCTGTGTTAACAGTAACATAGCTGATTTCTTAAATACAAGCATTTTGTGCGCTCTCATTAAGAAGCTTTGGATGATAAAAAAAGTGACAGTCACTTCTCCCTTTATGTAAACATAATTCCTTAATGTCTTATTTGGACATTGGAATTTTTAAAAGGGTTATTCGGAATACTTAAAAACAAACAAACCAACCCTGCTCAGGAATTTCCCTAGCAGGGCATAAAATCAGAAAACCAATACCACTTTATTTGCTCCTGTTTATGGAAAACAAACAACCTTCCTTCCAGCTCACATCCTCCAATGTCTAAGCATTAATGGAGTCCCAGTGGGTTCCCTAATTACGGGTTATGGCTAACAGACAAATGCAAAGGCAGATCTTGAGGCATTAGCTAATATCAACAGTGAAGTGACACTAAGATATTTATTAAGGGTTAGATGGTGGTGCCAGGAACCAAGCGATGCTAAGAGGTGGCCACTGCCATATCTCTAAGGCGGCATAACAATGAGGGATGGCAATGAGAAAATGAAAGCAGAGAACAGAGAAACACTTTCCATTGCCACCCACCAGAAAAGTCAGTGCAATGTGCAAATAGGAGGCAGAAGGCAGTGTGCGAGGAGGGCATCTCAGCTGGATCTGGACTTGATGGTCCCCACCTGAACTCTTCTCTCTGCCCACTCTGCCAGCCCGAGTGAGAGCTGGGAAGGCAGAGCTGCACTGCACTTGCTCAGAATTGCTATTAGCTGGGAAGTTTCATTTTGGGCGTGTTTTGCCCTCCATTTCATGGCTGTTACGGTTTGATTTGTTTCAAGTTTTAAAAAACCAGCCATTTATCTTGAAGAAATGACAATTTCACTTGCACTCTGGGAAACTGGGTCACATGCCATTTGGTAAAATAATGCGTGTTGCAGCTTGGTGTCCTGCTCTGAAATAATCAATTCTTCTAAGATAGCTGTTACCATCTTGGGAAATGCTCTGATTCAGCCTTTGTCTCTCACTGCTGGCAAATTACTCAGAGCTCAGAGTATTTAGCTGTCCCTGACTGTATTTTCTTAAATCCCCGGAGGGAAAGGGACAACCTTAGGGAAGGTGAGAGGGGGACGGCCTAGCCAGCGAGTGGGAGCGGTGCCGGGCCGCGAGCTCACCTCTGATGTGCGAACGCTGTCCTGTTGAACGTCCACTTGGAGGGCTTCTCCTGCAGCTCGTGGGTCAGGGAGTTTGTAATGGGCACAAACGAGGGGTCCAGGAACTTCAGGGCGAACTGGGACCTGGGGAGGAGCGCGCACACGCGGACCCACGCCCGCAGACACGCAGACGCAGACCCGCACCCCGTTACCAGC